ACAAAGTGGTGTGAAAGATGGTGTGTCAAAGTTGGTGTGTCAAGGATGGTGTCTGAAAGATGGTGTGAGACAAATTTGTGTGAGAAAGATAGTGTGTCAATGTGGAGGCTCTGTGTACTGCGCCTGCCACGCCAAAGGCAGCCGCGGCCCCAGCGGCGGCCACGCGCACCGCAGCTCGTCCAGGAGGCTCTGTGTACTGCGCCTGCCACGCGAAAGGCAGCCGCGGCCCCAGCGGCGGCCACGCGCGCCGCAGCTCCTTCAGGAGGCCCTGTGTACTGCGCCTGCCACGCGAAAGGCAGCCGCGGCCCCAGCGGCGGCCACGCGCACCGCAGCTCGTCCAGGAGGCTCTGTGTACTGCGCCTGCCACGCCAAAGGCAGCCGCGGTTTCAGCGGCGGCCACGCGCGCTGCAGCTCGTGAGGCTCTGTGTACTGCGCCTGCCACGCCAAAGGCAGCCGCGGCCCCAGCGGCGGCCACGCGCGCCGCAGCTCGTCCAGGAGGCTCTGTGTACTGCGCCTGCCACGCAAAAGGCAGCCGCGGCCCCAGCGGCGGCCGCGCGCGCCGCAGCTCGTCCAGGAGGCTCTGTGTACCGCGCCTGTCACGCCAAAGGCAGCTGCGGCCCCAGCGGCGGCCACGCGCGCCGCAGCTCGTCCAGGAGGCTCTGTGTACTGCGCCTGCCACGCCAAAGGCAGCTGCGGCCCCAGCAGCGGCCACGCGCGCCGCAGCTCGTCCAGGAGGCTCTGTGTACTGCGCCTGCCACGCCAAAGGCAGCCGCGGCCCCAGCGGCGGCCACGCGCACCGCAGCTCCGCCAGGAGGCTCTGTGTAGTGCGTCTGCCACGCAAAAGGCAAGCTCTCTGTACTGCGCCTGCCTGAGTGAGTGAGTGAGCGAGTGAGGTAGGTGAGTGAGTGAGGGAGGGAGTGAGTGAGTGAGTGAGTAGTGAGTGAGTGAGGGAGGGAGTGAGTGAGTGAGTGATGAGTGAGTGAGTGAGTGAGTGAGTGAGTGAGTGAGTGATGAGTAGTGATGAGTGCGGCGCGGCGGCGGCGGACGGAGGAGAGCGGCGGGATCCAAGCGAAAAACAAGAACCCCACACAGTGATGTGGGGAAAAAAGTATGAGATCTATTGCTGAAGGAGAGTGCCATCAACATCTCCAGATTCTCCAAGGCATGATCCAGCATGAATATCCTTCGCCCGGATTATTTGAAACAAACCCCCAGTTTAGTCATTGGGGGATCCCCTCCGAAAGCAGTCATTGGTGTTGATCCAGTGACGATCCAGTGATCCATGGTGATCTGACGGATTCAGCAAACCAATCTTAGTGATAAACTCCATGGCAAAAAAATTGAAAGACTAAAATAGATCACCTGGTTAGCTCAGGAGTTAGGGGAAGATCCTATTGGCAGGTGATCGAAAGAGATGCAGTGAAGGAAAACCCTTGATGTCTTGATGCTGATTGGTTGATTCGATAGAAATGCGCATGAAGAATGATGGATAATATTCATATTCCCGTTACCCGTCACAACCAGCTAGTATGACCCCATATCACCCTAGCTAAATTGCCTTGTCTACCGGGTAGCCCCACTTCTCCCCAGTTGAATCACAATGTTCTCTACTAACAATTTTCCCCAGTTGAATCACAATGTTCTCTATTAAAATAGCCATTTGGGTGGCAAGCTGGGGATGTGCCTGCTGAAGTGGGTCATTAGGCTGGCCCCATTAGACACACCCAGTCATGATCCTATGTGGAAGTTTCCCAAGCCATTGCTGGTACCGCCAAATCATCCATTTATATAAAATTATAAAAGATTACACATATATATATATAATTATATAATTATATAATTATCTAATATATATAATATGTATATCTATATATATATTATATATATTATATATATATATTATATATATATTATACATATTATATATATATTGTATGTAATATATATAATATATATATATATATTATTTATATAATGGATTGTTCCAAGAAATAAACCATGCCTTGCGCTTGAACCCCGGCTTCAACGCAGCCTGTTTCGCACCGTAACGGCGCGCATTCAATGCAGTCCGCGCTGGTGGGATTCCACTTGAGCTGTACAGGGACGGGGCCCATGCGTCGCGGGGTTCTGACTGGGTGCGGTGCCATGATGCCATGATGCCATGGTGCCACGCGTTGATCGTGAAGCCATCAGATATCCCATGGCTGGAAAAAGTCCTGACCAAAAAAAAACGATATCCTGGTTGGTGGTTTCAACCCCTCTGAAAAATATTAGTCAGATTGGATCATCATCCCAACTATCGGGGAAAATAAAAAATGTTCCACACCACCAACCAGGATATCGAGTTGAAATTTGGGAGTTCCCGTTTCTTGAACGGTAACTTGCAAAAATATGTGGACCAATCTACCACGGGGTTTCCCAGACCTAGAATGAACCAAAGGAGTGGATGACTAAGGCGAAACGTCTGGGAGCCAAGCCAAGTCAACCTTGGAAGTGTCATCCCAGTGTCAAGGATTCATCAAATAGGAGAGATTTTGGCATCCAAAAAAACGATGAAACATGATGAAAGATGATTTCTTCCAGACTTGATTTATAAACACTCCAAAGGAATCAGCAGTCCAAAAACAGTATCAAAAAAAAACTACGAAACAACTTTGCTTTGCTCAAGTTGGCCAAAAAAAATATTTTCCCAAGTAGATTCCCCATATGCAATGTAGCGGATTAACCAACTAGGTTTCTATAACTACCCACAGCTACAGCTAAAACTCCACACCCAGTGCATCAACGGCTGCGCCCGTCCGCCCTTCTGGCTAGGACGGGGAGGGGTGCCAGTGCAATGAGAAGTTTTGATGAAGATCGGGGATTGAAGCAAAAATTGTCCCATCCCCCTAATATGTTTCACAACACGATTTATGGGTCCCAATATGTGATTTCATCCCCTACAAAACCATGGTTGATATTGGGGTTTGCGCAACAACAAAATTGTTGACAAATGTAGTCACGGAAAATCCATGTTCCAGGTGTCAGTACATGTGCCATCGCCATTCGTTTGACCTTCTGCATTTTTGAAAGTATTGGGATAGAAAAATCGACAACTATGCTTGTTTTAAAGGCAACAAAGAAGGGAATTACAACAAACATAAAGTAGTGTTTTTTTTGCAAAAAAAAATACGTGGATCTTCGTCGACAAAAGGCGGTGACTTTAACCACAAAAACTGAGGTCTTAGTCAGTGAATATGGGCTGGGGATTCAAGCGACGAAATTTTCTAGGCAAGTTTGACCAACAAAAAGTGCAGCCTTAAACCAACAAACATGGCAGTTTAACACAAAAAAATGTGTGTTGCCCTACGAAATTGTATCTGTTTTTGCAGGTATAAAGGCAGCAACACTATTTTTGCACATGGGGAGTTCTGCGAGGTGCTTGCCCCCAGAAGTGTTGCTGAGCCAAAACTACAACATAACAAACATGTCCGACTGAACAGCACGACTGAAATTTCAGGTCTTGTTGCCATGTGATAATGCATTATCATTACGATTCTCTTCATGAGAATTCACAACCAGCAAAGAATACCTTAACCCACCGAAATCAGGCTCATCCCTTTTTGGGCTAAGGTTGGATTTGGGAGGATCTCTCAGACCATGCAATGGCACCCCCGAAAGCGCCTGGGCACTGAGCCTTGCTCCAATTCCCGGCGCAGCCAATTGTTGAAACACTTCTGGGCACCAGATGCGGGAAAAAACTCTGTTCCAATCCGACCACAACCATAGATGATTCTTGCTGCACTAACCTGCAATGTGCTGTCACTTTGGGATAATTCGACAATAATATACCCCATTCTCCACAACCAAAGGCTTCGAAATGCCGCAGATTTGGACATCTGCTCCGAACTCGGAACGACGCGGGCGCTCACCGATCTCTTTTCGCTAACGCCTCAGAAAGACCAAAGAAACATGAAAATAATCTGGGGATGTGTCTTACATAGTCTATATAACGTATGATCAGTATGATGCCACATCCGCGGCTAGAACATCCATAAGAATACACCAACATCTCTATAAACAACAGCTTAAACTTAAACCACAGCTGAGCCATCTGAAAATGTTTTAGGGTTGGCTCCAGTGCGGTCGCCTATTCGAAGGCCCCAATCCAAGCCCTTCCTGGAACCATCAAATCTGTGGGGATGCATCGTGGAGGCATGGAAATTAAAAACCCACACAATGTCCAAAAATCTTTCGCCAACCAATGGCTGTTTCAAATCTGGTAAATCATCGCTTTCACAAAGCAAAAAAAAAATATTTATCCGCCGACCCTGCCTAGCCTTGGCCTAGGCAGGGCGGCGCCAGGCTCCACCTGTGCCGATTTCGCCACCTGTTGCGAAACTGTTGCCAAGACCTCCTTTCTATAGGCTTTCGACATTGCCATTCGGCACATGTTGCTCACTCAAAAAGATTGCCGCTGTAGCTTCCGCTGCCTTGCAAGCTCAGCCTTAGGTGCAGCTTCAGCCCCTTGCGCCCCTTGCGCCCCTTGCGCCAAGGGTTGGCCTCTTGCGCCAAAGGTTGCGAAATTGTTGCAGCTTCAGCCTCGTTTCGCGTGTTTCGCCCACCCCCCAAAACCCTCCCTGCAGCTTCAACCCTTTGCGCTGCCTTGCAATCCCGCGCTGGATCTCAGCCCTCGCTGCAGCTTCAAGGGAAACCATCTAATCTTTTGGGTGATTTGTAAAACCAGTTCCCACGCAAGTCTCTGCTGTTAACCAAATTCAACCAATGTCATCAAACTATACATTTTCTGGTCCCATTTCAAAATTCACACTAAGGCCATGGTTCATGTGAGAAAGTTCCAGTTTAACATCGTCCTTGGAAGCCAAAGGTATCTTTATATTGCCCCCTTTGAAGGGGGTCGGCGGCACCAGGGCGTTAGCCCGTTTATGAATCTCCACCATTTAGGGCAAGGTCAAACTAGTAACTCTTCCCAGCTTATTTCATGGACCCGCCCTAGTGCCTCACATGCACCAGAGGTTGTGGAATTCATCTGGAAGTTCACGCTCTGCCATTGCCTCGCTGGGTGTGTTGGGCAGGGGATTGAACCCTAGCGATGGCAATTGGAAATCCCCCCAAAAAATGGGATAAAATCATTGAACGAAATGGGGAATTGTCCAGCCCATACATATTTTAATTACAAAAAATATCCGAAAAAATCTCCGAAAAATCTCCCAAAATCACCAAAAAAACTCGCCCAAAAATCCCCAAAACGCCTCCGCGTGGGTTTGGAAGCTGCGGCACTCCACTTCCGCCTCGGGCGGTGCCACGGTGGCCGCCCAGGCCTCGGCGAAGCGCTCCTGGGCCACGAAAAAAAACGGCGGTTGGACGGCAGTTTTACCCAGAAAAACACCTGTTTCACCGGGAAAAATGATGCTTGAAGCAGCAAAAATTATGGGTTTTACTATGTTTTACATTGCTTTACCATATTTTGACAACCATTTTTGGGAGGGATTCAAACATGACAACCTTCCGCAGCGTCCTGAAGATTCTTGCAGAAACTGGGATAGTTCCACCTGGGGCAATGGTGGAAGCCTCCATAGGCGATTCATCCCCAAGCTTACCAGAACCAGAAATGGGTTGCATAAACAGCAGAAACCTTCAAAATTGGAGCTTCATGGTAGGTTTTACCACATGACTGCCTCAACGACCATCTCAGCGCGTGATGTATGACTCAGAATTCGGTAACATTGCCAGACTTTGATCATTCAAACATTTACCGGAACTCATTTTTTCCCCATGGTTTCCTGCAAATGTTTCCTTTCGGTCAATGCATTACACCCAAAATGAATCCCAGGACCAGGCTGGGTGTACCGACCAACTGGCTTTGATTAAGTCGGACCTCGCTGCTGTGCGTGAAGCATTTCCATGTGGTCCCCGTGTGTAGATGGAAGTTCAGGGGAATACTGTTTGAAACACTGAGTTACTGTAACTTCCCAAATGGTTGCTACTGGGAAAATCCGTTTTCCGAGCCACTGTAGATGTAAGTCCGTCCTATTTGTGGGTTTTGTTTTGAGCCATGTCCATTTCATCCATGTGTTTTATCCACAAAGTTGTCATGTATGATCTTGAATCTGGGAACATCTGTAACCTTCTGCTCAAACATAGCTGTCAAGAACACGAAAGCCCCCGCAGTTGCTTTCCATTGTAGCTGCTGTATCAGTGGTCAAAACATCTTCAACCCAACCCAGATCGCAGGGACAGGGAGGAATTCCGCAGCTTTTTCGGGAACCCTTCCGCTTGCGCATCTCCTTTTTCAATCGACGTACGTCAGATGCGTCCAGGTCCCAGGTCCTGGGCAGTTGAAAATCAGGGAGAGTGTTTCAATGTCCCATCCATCATGGATCAAACTGGGTGTCTCAAACTGGCCGTTTTTTTCCCCATGAAATGGCCATTGGGCCATGGAAAAAAAACGATGCCAAGTCCCAGGTTTTTTTTAACCCCAGCGCAGCATTTCCCCGGTGCGGCATCCAAGGCTCATTGGAGCCCAAGCTGTTGTGCAGCATTCTGCGGTGCGATCGGTGAATAGGACATGTTTCTGGGGCTTGAAAAAGGATGTAGATCCCTCAGTCATTCACCAAAAAGAAATGTGAAGCAGCTCTTGCAAGTGAAACTACATTTTAAGTCTTGACACCTACACTCGCAAAAGTCCCGGAATTGGTCGAAGGGAACAATTATAGGAAAACCCTACATTTGGAGGTCAAAACATCTGCAGGTTGAAAAGTGTCCTTCAAATCCGTTGAAACATGGAACAGCACCATGCCAGCCATGTTCAATCAGAAATCGTCAGGCAGGGGTCTACTTGCCAGCAGTTTGACCCTTGTCGGATGTGCATCTCGGCTAGCAGCCGTGCACCACAAATTGCAGCGGGTCCAATTCGTCCCCGAAATCCAATAGTTTGGAATGCAGCAGGGGTATTGGCCACTGCCGTTTGACGGTTAGATATGTTGCTCATATCACTATAGAATGCTGATGCTGACCCTGTTGTACACAAAGATGGCATTGCAACCAAGCCAGTTTGACAGGGAAACCACATACCAATGAATAGAATTGGTGGGATGTTCACTTGCCAGGCGAGAGTACAAGATAACCTGTATTTTACCAGGTCAACCGATAATGGGGTAAAATGCACTACAAACCGCTAAGCTCTCAGCTCTTTTTGAACCAACGCTATCGGGTAGATCGATGATATATACAATACATGGTTTTACTGCAGGAGTTTTTACACCCCCCTCGGGCGAGCAGGGACGACTGCGGAGAACGAATAACCCAGAAAAGCATACCCTCGCGGGTAGCCAAATTTCTTTAGTTGGTTTTAGACATTTTGTGCAGTCTTTCAAAGGTCCCTCTAAAAAGCTCAAGCCCGTAAAACCCAGCGCAGCGTTGCAAGGAAGGCACATTACCATGCCACATCTTGCGCTATGCTACAAAAGAAAATCATCGTCTCCCTAACGGTTCCAAAAGATCCAACGGCCGCCGGCCTCGTCACGGTAATACCAAGCCCCACGCCAGAAACTCCATTCTCGGCGTGCACCATAGTGATCACGATTCCAACTCCAAGAGGCATCCGGGCGACCGGAGCTTGCAGCCTTCGAAGTGACTCCTGCGGTTGCTGCTTTTGCAGTGGGCGGTGTCTCAGGCTCCAAGAATGGTCGTGCTCCTGCTTTGGATGTTGGTGGTTCAGGTACCAGAAATGGTGCGGCTGGGGCATCAGCGTGCGAGGCATCTGCGCGAGCAGAGCTTGAGGCGGCTGTGACATCTGGTGCGGTTGCGGATGCATCAGCTTCGGCTTTGCGCTTTCGCTCAATGGTGGGCGCGACCGTGGGGTCGGCCTTATGACCTCCAGGACCTCCAGCCTTTGCAGCGGCGCTCTGCTTCTCTTTGCGTTCAAGATTGCTCCGAACCAAGGGAAGGTTTTCCTCATACGCCTTTTCGAGGAAATCACGAGTGCCATCAAGAGGGACTTGGACAGTACCCTTCCAGGTCAACAGGCCACGGAATGCGCCACGACGGCCGATGTAGCTGACATATTCATCCTCTGTAAAAATGTGGCGGCCAAACATGAAACCCCAGACCTTCTTCCATGTTTTGCGGAACTCAACTGGGAAGCCATCAACGCCACGAGGCTGAGACATGAAAATCAACTTAGATAAGCAGTTCTCATTTTGGGCATTGGCGGCGACGCCAGCCGAGATCTGAGCTCTGGTCCTTGGGGGATCGGGGAGGTTGCCGTATGCGAACATATCGTCAAATATGCAGTCCTGCAGGTCCTTCCCCTCACCGTGGATGCGGTCGCAAAAAGTGACGTCGCTGGAGTACCTGTCTTCCACGTCCTCGTAGCCCAGCGCTTTTGCACGTCGATGCCTGTCGCGGCAGTCTTTGAGGACTGCTGATTCCACGGATGTGATTCCCCTGGGGCCCAGTTCTCGGCGTAGCAGGTTGGCTTGCTCTTCCGTCAAGGCTGTCAGCAAGCTTCCGCTCATCTTCCCAAACATTCCGAACCCGGCGAGACTTTGCATTCGCCGTTCAAGGATGCGGGTCCTCCTGTTGGGTTTGTTGGCCTCTTTTGTATCGCCACTTTCGTCCACTGGGAGTGGCTCAAAACCACATGTGGTGCATGTCACTTGGCCACTGACGTACTCAACCTGGCAGAGGGGACAGGAGCCCATGAAAGGTTCGCAGTACTTGGGTGCAATGTAAACACGGCGCGTCCTTGCGGGCGGCTGGTCAACTTGCATTGAGGCAGTGGCTGCATCATCATCAGTGGACTTGGCATCGGGTCGCCCCGTGCTGGTGTCATCCATTTGGTCGTCATTTGCATCATCTCGGGCAGTCAAGGTGACCGCTTTGGCTTTCGGTGCTGAGGCAGATGCCGCGCCAGTCCATGTGCTGGGCTCGAGATTGCTCTCGGCGCGGGACCAAAGCACCTGTCCTTCTTCTGAGATGCTGACCAGAAACTGCGGTGGGATGCGTTCTGAGCACAAAATCCCATCCATTTCTGTGCGACTAAAGATGACACCAGCTTCAACTGCTTGCCGCATTGCGATTTTGACTTCGATTGGACATTTTGCTCTTAATCCAGATCGATACCCCTGCGTGCCAATACAGTGTTCTGCCATGTAGATATGGGCACGGCCACTGTTGACTGTTGCACCGCCGCCTGGGATCAGGCCGTTCTGTGCGATGCTCTTCCAGCTGCTTTTCATCGTGCGATGGAAGACAACCTCAGGAACCTCAGTCATGGCAATACACCATGGTTGAATTGGCATAAAGACCCCCTGCGGTTTTCAAGGCAGCTTCGGAGTGACCCTGAATTGCACGGATTTTCACAGGATAATACGGCATGCCTAAGCCATTGTCGACAGGAAAATGGGAAATCTTTGCACACAAGAATTGGAACCTACTCTTGCCATGCTTGTCGATCTTCATTGCGGTGCCAAACAGGTTTGCAACAGTGATGAAAACATCTGGGGGCACTTCCTTGCGGAAGGCTTTGGCGAAATCCTCCAAGTCAATCCAAAGGTCTTTGTCCATTGGCACCTTGGCACAGGATCCATGCCCCCTGCAAACTTTGTTGACACGAGTCGCAAAATCAGAAAACTTCTTGTCGACGCGAGTCTGGCTGGCAATGGTCTCAACGTCGGATGCCGATATCAGCTCCAGCTCATAGGCCGTACCTTCAAAGAGGATGCCGGGCACATCGTCCCCGTCTGCATTGGTCACCATTGTATATTGGTATTCAGGCAAATGCTCTTCCATCCAATATGCTTTCACGTGGCCAGATGCTTGTCCCTCGAAGCGCGCAGTTGCCTGCGGCTGGTACTGGCTGGATGTGGCTCCCTTGTCATCTGCGGGCTCATCCATTGATGCTGGTGCTGCTTTCGGCCGCGACTTCAACATGACCTCAGCTGTCTGGACCAGGATTGTTGCTCTGCTGGATGCAGCGGGCTCGCCGTCGCCGGCGGCCTTTGGAGGGTCATCTTTGGGAGGCTCAGCAAACGTGCCCGAAGGCATCGTCTTGATGTCGATGTAGTCCTCAGTGTCGGGTTGTTGAGCTTCGACGTCCTCCTTGGTGAATGACCTGCCCGTCGGCACAATGTGTCTTCGGGACTCTCCAAAAAGCAACTTGGTGATGTTTGCACATGTCTCCTGATAGGATCTTGGCAGCTCGTCCAGGACGGCGCTCATGTTCCTCCGCAAATCATCCCATGTCTCCTGGGCACACTCAGAAAGCTCCAAACCAATTTGGCCGACCCGCCATCCGGAATCAAGTGCGAAAAGGGTAGCTGTCCAATAGGCAGCAAGGCGCGTGCGATTTTCTTCAGAGTTGGCGAAATGCCACTGGTCTCTGAATTCCATTGCATCGGCGTACCCCTTTGCTTTTAGCCACGGATACCGCGGATTGGCACGCCCTTGCAGGCTGCTGGTTAGAGCTTTGAATCGGGGCTCCAAATGGTCGAAAAATTGATCGAAAATTGGATGAATGCCGTAATCTGCGCTCCAGGGCGCGGTCGTGAGACCGGCCGTCTGCAGGTCCAACTCCCGGGCCTTGTTGATGAACCATGTCAAGTGGCACTCACAATCATCCAGGATCGTGGGCCAGTGCCCGTTGGGACCATCGTACGGCCAATTTGGATTTTGGGCAATTCCATCCTCTCCTACCAATTCATTTCCGAACCAGGACAAGTGCAGGTTGATGCGTGCATGAGGATAGCGCTCGCGGGCGTCCGCGGCCAATTCGATCCCTCTCTTTACCAACTTTTGCAAAGTTTTGCCCCAAAGCATCTCGTGGATGAACTCAGTCACGTACTTGGGTTTGCGCTGTCGGTAGTGTTCGGAAAGATCAAACTTCTTAAGTGTCTTCCTACGCCCTGTGATCAATGCACATGACGAGTCAGAGACTAAGATCCAGATTACGTCATTGACGGGCATCTCTGGCAGCATGATCTTTTCGATGTGGGACTCCTTTGGCAAAAAGCAGAAACTAAGGTATTCTGCAAGCGGATCCTCTCGACCATAGAACCTCAGGGCCGAAGTCGGCGTCCATTCGGTCATCAATCCATCCACAAGGTCCTGAGCAGCCTGATTCTCACCTTCATTGCGCATGGCCAATGCATACAAAATGCGATTGTGAAGGAGCAACCATGCTTCTTTGTTAGCCTCACGTGTGGCTTCGAGCGCAGCCTCGCGGCTGGCCGGGTGTGCTGTGGCATATCGTGAGTCAGCCATTTTTGCAGGATAGGCACGAATGACAACGGGTGAAATCCTTTTGGATGTTTGGCCCACCACAGCTACCCGGAAACACTCATGGAGCATGTCAGTCAACTTGAAGGTATAGTTCTCAGCAAGTTTAAGAGCTTTGCCCCTACTTTGATCATGCTCATGTTTGCCATCACATTTGAATGAGTCTAACACGGTGAGTTCTTTAAAATTTCCTGCGATAGTCCAACTTTTCTTCATTGGTTGACCGTTGTTTCCAAGAACACCCAACATACAACCATCAAAGT